CGAAATGGAAGTAATCCCAACAACTATGAAACAAGAGATTCCTCGAAACCCAACTTTTCTTCATAGACTTTCATTTACTTGCTATTTTTGGCGGCTCAACGCAGACCATAGAAAGTGCTTCTTTGATAACTGGACGGCCAGATTTAGCAGGTCATTGAGACTCACCACAAACAGGGAAAGCCATTTTGAGTCAGTTATCTGGAACCCGGACATGCGTAAGCTGAACTTCAGACCATAGTTTCGAGAAAGATTGCCCCTCTCATTCCAGGTCTGCATAAACACGTCAAAAAAGACCAGATGTCCAGGTTGGCTGTTGTCTTCGTGAGATCTTGATCTTATATATTATATGTTATATCAAGTGGTAGCTGAAGTTAAGGTGTACATGTCACTCTGACTACCTCATTGAATCAAATGCTCGACTTCTAGAGGAGGTGGTGTGGCTCAAGCGCTATAATTTTTGCCATTCCTTGTTCATTATTCTGTTTTTTTCGCAACATCAAACAGGATCTCCCTGGAAAGCGGAATAAAACCCTGCACGATTCGTCAGTACACTGGTGTCGAAGATAAAAAGACAGACACGGTTACCTTGGCCGAAGTCTTTCAGCCGTCTTGGAGATACAAGGAAGTATGAAAAGGGTTTAAAATCATAAAGTAACATTCGTTGGACTTCTCATGTCTTGCGAAAATTTATGTGAAAGAATTCGTAAATTGTTTTAACTGCAAATCGAAAGAGGGCACTTAAAGGGATGGTGTGGCCTGATTTTTAATCACTCACCTTTTTTATGCTATACTTAGACTACCCTCGTTTTAGCAAATTAACACAGTTGTCAAGGCGAGCTTGGAGACCGCAACTTGTGTAACAAATGGTTGGGTGAGGGATGGACTTGATTTGCGTTTTTTATCACTTGTAACTTGATGCAAAAATGATAAAATTCATTAATGATGTCGGCTAAAAGTCAGAAAATAATCGAAGTCTATGGTCATACACTGTAAAGTAATTTATGCTCTGATGTGTGGTCGGATTTTGAAAGAGTTCAGCCAGGACAAGAAATGGCGTAGGTCTGTTCAACGATGTATTCACCCTATTTCGTCTAAGGTGATGAAGGACTGGTAGTAGAATTTTCCCACAATGATATGAGTAAAGTAACTGTAAAGTAACATTACTATCATGGCAGAAAACGCCGGACAAGGTACGTTCTCCAGAATCGCCTCGACAGCACGACCAGGCCGCGCAAACAAAAGAGGATCGCCAGTCAGTTGTGATTGTACATTTTAGCCTGGAAGTCCTTTGCGTATCTTTCTGTGGTAGGGAAAAATCTAGGTGAACTATTGTCTCTTCTGACCTGACACGTGTATTCAGAGCTTGAAGTCGACATGATGCTCCAGGTGCTCCAGATCATCATGACCCTCGAATGCTCCAGTTATATACCGAAATTACATCATAAGAATTATGCAGGATTGTGACCGGCTACCACTCTTGGCTTAGGCTTTTTTGTAAAGATCATTGAAAAAGTCGCTTTCTCGCTCTGAAACTGTCTCTCACGTTGGAGCTGACAAAGATTTGGCATGTACTAAAGGGGCAATCTTAATTCGGCTTCCAGGCGACCAGTTTCCGAATCTTTACTACCTAATTTTCCTTATAAAATTGGCGGGCCAACTATACGATATTTGAGTAATGTTAACGAGAATAGAAAACAAGCAAACCTTTTTCATGTCTAAGCCTCCTTGTATGCTCAATGTAGGCAGATACTCAAAGGCCAATCAACTTCCAGTTCATAGTGAAATAAATCCTATCTTCCCCCATAAAGGTTCAGTTTAGATGCAGTGGTTTCACATTATTTGCATGTAACTAAGATTAATCCTTTTTATAATGTCCGGTGTAATACTACTCCCAAGATCAGTCAAATTACCAGATGGCAGCACTAAAACGATACTTTCTAGGCCGCCAAATCTCACTTAATTCTCTTCCCAGCTTCACTATGCTGTAACTCATCAAGTTTTGCGGATCACTTTAGAGCCTTTGCTTCGCACAATTGCATGAACCTGATTGTCGTGCCTTTGCTCTCTAAAGGAGATTTCGTTCCTTGTCCCGTTTGCTGTACGAGTTAGTTCGAGGGGGCGCTCAAAAGTTTTGAATTACGACAATCTCTCTGTCATCCGGTCTATTCACTACTGAAGAGTCATTACCTGCCTATCCGAATCTTCTATTCCTTCTTCCGAATAATTCAGGAACTCAGCTCAACCGACTTCTGGCTACCGTACCCTATGGCTACCTCTTGCGAAATACACCGCATCTTTGGAGATCCCAATGCCAATTTTCCCAACTTGCCTGGGCAAAAACATGACCAAAACAAACACAAGCAAGTGATTGCGATCACCAGCTTGTACAGGCATGCTGACCTGTCAGTGGCAATCGGTGGGGGGTTGCCCTGGCTCTCCATCGTCAGCTCTGACTTAATAATTGCCGTCTAAAAATAATTGAGCCTAAATCGCATTTTCAGATATATCAACAAAACATGGTGTATAAGGACCCACACTAGGACATATACAGATTTCTCGGAGCATACACACACTCACAAGCCGATAAACACCTGTAGGCGTGTTCAGATTAAATCACCAACCTACCGAAGTAACATGCAGAGATGAGCATCCCACTAGATACATGGTAATCACACTGTTATCAGCAAAATTTTAGCATATCCGCAAAGGCACACAGATGGACGTCATGCATGGAATGAAGGGCTTTCTCGTAAATGATGAATTCTTGCATGCTTCCAACTCTAATGGGAAAGGAACATTTGAAGTCAAAAGAGCATGAAGATGGTAAAAACTCGAGAATAAAGGGAGTGAGGAGGAAACTAGATTAACTTAGGCGATAGGTTAGTAATGCAGGGAATTGAGAAAGGCTTTTGGGCAAGAATGTTGGAGTTCAAGTAAATGAAAGGATGAATCGAGGTCAGCTGAAATCAAGATCATTCTGACAAGTGTTAGGCATCAAGGGAGGTCACGAAGCGGTTAGCTACTGCCAGATCAGGGTAAGGATAGCCTCGGAATAAAACTGGCTTTCTTCGTTGAGAAATATGGGCTTAAAAGCCTCCGTACAATCGGCCTACATAGTAAATATAGTAAACCCGGCTTCATGTAGTGAAAGAGTCAGAGATAGATATATGCGACAAATGTGCGTACCTATATACGATTTAGTAAATACACGATAAATTAATTAACTTTACGGTAAATGCAGGGAGGAGCAAAAGTTACGAAAGAAATGGCATTACAAAACGAATTGTAGAGAATACTTGGCTTTGAAATTCATGGAAACTCTATTCTATTCTATTCTATTCTATTCTATTCTATTCTATTCTATTCTATTCTATTCTATTCTATTCT